GCTGAAAATTTGTCCATTTTCAAGTTTGAACCAGGCGACAGGAACGTTTAAAATGGTTTGCCAGCAGGTCAACTTAGCTTATTTTCCTCCATCGATCTGAGATTTTAGCCAGAAACAACAAAATTTGAGAGATTCGGCAGTTAGTAATGCGAATCAAAACAGTCTAAGCCTATCCTTTCCTATGCATAGTGCTAAGCTTGATCAGAGGACCAATATATCCAGCAAACTTTTTTTTTCACTGCTACGTTAAAGGATGCTGTCAAGTTGAGGGAATATCTATATGAATGCGCATAATCTCATTCCAGCATTCCTTACACTCAAAACTCGAGCACCACTGACCGCTGGAAGTAATTGGACGCTTTGGATTAAGTACACTGGATTTGTGTGGGGCGTACCAAGTAAGGGTGTGTACACAAATACCAACTACTTTGAATTCAATAACAAAAAAGCGTAAGTTCATTCAGCAACATTGCATTCTGTCGGTATTTTGAAGTTGACCATCAAAGAGATATTGCATACAGAATCTGAAGAATGAATTGATCCAATTCCTTTTATCGCACTCTTCTCGTAAATAAGTAATTGATGACACAAGATTAGTTTTCTATAGATTGTATCCAAGGTTTCATTCAGATGGATATTTTCGACATACTTCGAGTCTGGTCCAAGTGCACGTTCATTGGTGCCGTGTTTTGATGAGCCTGACTATAAGGCTCGATGGCAAATGACACTCGAACATCCCGCTGATATGATAGCGCTCGGAAATATGCCCGATCAAGGATTCACTATTCAAGCAGATGGTAACTAAAGCCTAGTTACGAATTTGCTGCGTAATTATGATGCAAAGTTTTATTTCCAGTTGAGTCCTCAAAAAGCCGAGCAATTGTTATGCATGAAGAATACGCGATCATGAAATGAATTTGACATCAACACAAGTATCTCATTGATGCAAATGAGGACTGAATTTGTCCCGGAGATATTATTTCACTCAGCTCCTAATGATGCGATTCAAGCAATAAAAAGAACTGCTAATGATTGAAAAATTAATCAATTCATTGGTTAACTCTCAACAACACTTTGTTCTACACTCGGCAGTCAAAGCTGTGAATGGTTAAGTGAACTCTTAGAGAAGAGTATGGTTATAGGATGGGCCAGAACTAGCTTCCTGCCAACACCACCGATGTCAAGTTATCTGTTGGCTATTGCCTCGGGTCATTTTGCATCGTTGGAAGGAGTGTCCGAAACTGGTGTGTTAGTTCGTTTATGGTCTTGGACCGGCATGGAGATTTATGCTGGAACTGCTCTGAAGGTTGTCCTTCGCCATTGTTTCTTCTCTTATTCAGTTTTATTATGATTCATTGCTCTACTGAAATCGATCATCTCGCAATGGCCGCTAACACTAACATCTCAGTCATTTAAAAGTCTCACAAATTTTTACGACAAAACTTTTCATTATGCATAATTTCAGGTTGTTTCATCACAAGTTGATTTCATGTCCACTTATTTCAAGTTCCCATATCCTCTACCGAAACTTGGTGAGTGTTATTTCATTTCAGGAAT